GAGAGAGAGAGAGAGAGAGAGAGAGAGAGAGAGAGAGAGAGAGAGAGAGAGAGAGAGAGAGAGAGAGAGAGAGAGAGAGAGAGAGAGCATGCAGCAGCATCACCCCCACCCTGCACTCCGCCACCACCCACAGCCTCACACATCTCCCTCCAACCCCTCATCCAACACTCCACTGCCTTAGCCACCTACCCACCAATCGCAGTGTCAGGACAGAGAGAGAGAGAGAGACACAGTTTGCCAGCGCCATGTCAGCCCCCCTCCCCCCCAACCCACTCACCACTAAGGGCCCACAGCCTTCCCTCCCTGTCCGCCACCTGCCAACACTCCGCCGCCTTACCCACCTCCACCACTCTCCCCATGCGCTGGGAGGTCAGGGGAAACAGAGCAAGAAAGAGAAAGGGTTCCGGGGCATGGCCACCAGTCGCTGAGGGCCTTCTGCACCCCGCGCCTGCACCCCTGCATCCCACACTCAACCAGACGTCCAAAGCCCACCTTACCTCCCCGACCCACCACCACCACAGCACTCCGCCACCTCCTTTCCCACTCTCCCATCTCGGCCTAGTGCTCGCGCGCGCGCGCGCGCGCGAGAGAGAGAGAGAGAGAGAGAGAGAGAGAGAGAGAGGGAAAAGCTGCAACAGGTCACATAATCCTAGTACAAATCCTCCTGATACGATACTTATCTGGTCGATGTGGAAGCAGCTCCTAGCTACTTTTCCGATTCTATTGGCAAGAACCTGAACTAGTATTTTGCAGGCAATCATCAGTGGAACAATGGGTCTGTATGTCCAATGGATCCTCTTTCTTGTGCAGCCGTAATACTATTCTATACTTAGATATTCTCCGATCCCTCCTGAACCTGCTGTAGGAACTTCACGTAGTGCTCCCCTAGAATTGGACAGTGGCACACGCAGAACTCCTTTGACAGTCCGCACTGCCCTGGTGATCTAAGCATTCTTCTTTCTGCATGGATATAGTCTTGCCCAGGAAGCTGGCAGAATTTTCACCTTGCTTCAATGAGTGAATGTGGTGTACGGGGACTCACTTTTGAGCATGTTTGAACTTTGAAGAAAGGATCTGCTATCTACAGCATTTTACTTGGGTCTGCAAACCACCACTACATCCTGAAGACTCTAGAGCATCGCCTGAGGACGGTACAAAATTATGGCCAAACCAGTTGACCGACTGAAAAAGGGTCATCCCCATGGTAAGGCATGGCAGTTGGAAAGGTACTGGTGGTTTAAACTACCACTACCCCCGCCATCCTGAATTGGGGGGGACCGGTAGCAGAGGTTCATGAGGACTACCGATAGCACAGTGGGGAGAACCGGACGAGTGGCAAAAATGGAAAATGCATCGAAATGCCACCGCGATTTATGTCACGGTTGAAACGAGTTTTTTTCATTTTTAAAATATTTTTCCTGGACATATCACGGACAAATCTACAGACCCTCCAATTTTCAATTTTTCAGAGCTTTTGCGTCATTCTTCTGAGCACAAAAAATCACAGAAGTTGGGGTACTTTTTCCGTCGGCCCACAAGTGGTAGAGTGGCAAAAATGGAAAATGCTACGAATCGGGACGGCACTTATTTGACGGTCTAAACTCTTTTTCTTTTTTTTTCCTGATATTTGTTTCTGGATAGATCACAACCTAATCTACAGAATCTCCAATTTTGAATTTTCAGAGTTTTTAGACAATTCTTCTGAGCGTGAAAAATCGCCAAAGTTGACGCTTGAAAATTGCGAACTGGCCCCACCTGCACCTGCTGGTCGCCGCCCTACCGTTTTCAGCAGCCCTAACTCTCCGGGAATCCTACTTTAGGCTGGTGGGGGTAGCGGTGGTTTAAGAGAGACCGACCAGGGAATACCAATCTGAATGACGTATGTGACATTGCCATTCAGGTTTCTCCTTTCAGCTTTCCCTCTAGACCAGCCAAAAGAGAGGTGGGAGTAATCGGGGTCAGGGAAGGGGCTAGAGGATATGATTTTCAGGGGTAGGGGTAGGGGCTAGGGGATGTAATTTTCGGGGGTAGGGGAAGGGGCTAGGGGGGGACGCGGTTTTCTGACAACACTTCATCTGAGAACATGCAAATCGTGCTTTGACCAAGAAACACACAATTCATTCATGTGCGCAGAGACAAGGAGAACAACACAAGGAATGATGACCTCACCTTCAGTATATCGATTCCCTTGGGAGACTTCTCTATGACATCCATCAACGTCTCCAAGGACCCGCATTGCAGTGCTGCCTCCAACTGGACAGAAGACTTTCTGGGCAGTACAGAAGCAAAATTGAAAAAAATGACTAGCAACACTTTCAAGAAATCGAAGCTGATTCTGACAATTACAGATATCATAAATCCATCAGGAACAAACATGCCCATGCACTGGCAATCACTTGCAGCTCTGTGAAAAAGTACAATGCAGGGACCCACACAGTAGCCGACCGGAAATCTGCATCTTCTGAGAAAGTGGCTGTCTTTGTTCTGTTTTGCCAAGATTTTCGTGTGGAAGCCTATTTTAGTATTTTGCTGTATTTTTTTCATCTGTGAGACGGGCTGACGACATGAGTACAACAGCAGGGTTGCATACCAGCCAACCAGTCTGTAGAAGGCCATCCGCTGATTTTTTTTCAAATCTGGGTTCGGGGCAGTACTGCACTTGCTGAGTACAGCCAACATCC